AGGGACAAGAAGGGAGGAAGGAGGAGAAGAAGAAAAGAAGAAGAGAGGAGGAAGAAGAAGACGAAGAAAAAGATGAAGAAGAAGAGAGGAAGAAGGAGAAGAAAAAAGAAGAAGAGGAAAGAAGTAGTAGTAGAAGAAGACGAAGAAGAAGAAGAAGAAGAAGAATTGAACGAAAGACGAGAAGGAAAAAGAAGGAGCGAAGAAGAAGAAGAAGAAGAAGAAGAAGAAGAAGAAGAAGAAGAAGAAGAAGAAGAAGAAGAAGAATTGAACGAAAGACGAGAAGGGAAAAGAAGAAGAAGAAGAAGAAGAAGAAGAAGAAGAAGAAGAAGAAATAGTCAGTAACTTGGAAATGAGAATTAAACCCAGTAGGTATATACTCAAAAAGAAAACTAGATTTTACAAGCATATTACAGACTGTTTAAAATAAATTTGTATATAAAATGCCCATTAGCTTGATGCAATCGTAACAGATAGTTTAAGATTAATTTATTCATTCGAAAATAGAATCCATCAAAAATGACTTGTTGATTTATGTTTGGATCAGCACCTGCCTAGAATCAAGGGATATGTACATTTTATCTAGGATCAAAATGCCGCTTTCCGCCACTTCAATCTACGATAAGTATAATATCTGTGCAATCTGCAAGAAGTGTTACAAACACCCTCCCTCATTCACAAAGTTATTATTATCATTATTATTATTGCAAATGTTACATTTAGTGGGTACACGTGTTTAAACAATGTAATTAATGCCTCCCGGCCTGAAAATTGAAAGTCTTAATAAAGACTGTGTACTTCCTGACAGGTATCAAATCCCTATTAGATTTTTAATCTTGGAAACTGCTTTCAAGCCATTAAGTTGCGAGATGTTATTACAGCAAAGCAGGGTTTAGTTACATTCTTTAAAAGACACATCTCTCTTTGGAACCTTTCGAAATCCATAACAATGAACTTTAATCTTTTTTATCCGCCATCATTTCTCATTGATATAAATGTTATATATTAATGGGTACAGACGTTTAAAAGGAGACACAAGGTGTGTGTGTGTGTTTTTTTTTTTTACAAAAAAAAGGGGGGATATGACATACGCGTATATATGGGACAAAGACAAAAATTACCCAGTTCCCGGGGCTACTGTCACGTTGGAGTTCTTATTCCACCGACCTACCCTGTGGAAAGGAAAGTGCTACCGCAGAGTTGGAATCCACTCCACACTTTTTCAAATTTACTCCCAGTAGCCCAACATATATAATTTGGGAATCAGGCATTTTCGATTTCCAAGTTTTTATTACTGCGATTTTTTCGGCGTTTTTTTTACATGATTTTTTTTTTTTTTGCGACGAATTTTTTGTACGATAACAATTTTTATAACTTGTAAATAAATTTGTGAATAGTCGAAATTAATTGCGAAATCCAGCGAAAGTCACCCATGAAATAAAAATAATTGTTTGTACGGAAAGTAAGGACCTACGTACATCAAATTGTCTTTAACTTAAGTAACGACAGAAGAATTATTGTTGAACTTTTAAAAGGTAAGCTTTATTAATGCAATACTTGAATGCAGTGAACAATTTCTGGAGTTTATTGTCCTCTCACTGGATCTAACCAACGCCTTTATCCACTGTGCCATATGTCCACAGGACCCAAACTATGTGAGTTCAATACCCGGTTAAGGCAGTGCAGAACTTTCAGAGGTAAATTAACAGGAGATAACTGATAACTGACATCCATTAAACATGGCACGTGGAACTAGAAAGGTCTACCCAAGTGAACGAAATAATGGGTTCAGTTCGACATTACAACCACCTGAAGAAGGCCGGAGCGTACAATGGCCGAAACGTTGTGATAGATATGGCGACAAAGATGAGGACAATATTGCGAATAATGTAAATACTGTACATAATACCTCATCTCAGAAATATATATATATATATACAATCGGCCTGACGATTGTGCCTAACATGAAACAGCCTGTCGCCTCTGAGTGTTGACTTCAATGTTCACTTTTATATTTATATTTACATACGCTCTGTCTCTGATATTGAGAACTTTATCCCATAAATATAGCACACTTTAAAATTATATATCTTCACATATATATATGTGTGTGTGTGTGTATGTGAATATATATGTGCGTGTGTATGTGTGTGTGGATGAATATATATATATGTGTGTGTGTGTTTGTGTGTGTGTGTGTGTGAGCGTGTGTGTTAGTAACACAATAATTTTATAAATATAAAATTCTAAACCTAAATGATAATACTATTGCATATATACATTCTCAAGTTCTTAAAGAAAATTAAATTAATGGCCTTTTAGGCTTCCTCCAGGAGTTCAATTTTGGAATAATACGAATTATATGTCACGGGGTGGGGGCATCAGGATTTTAGAGATGCTTATCTGGGTCATGGCCAAAAAAAAATGTTGGGAATCGCTGGTGACTAATAAATCAAGTGTTTTTTCTCTACATTTTTGTGTTGTTTGAAGCTAATCAATGCGAATGCGTTTCTTCTATTTACGCTATTTACATGCCGACTATTGTCCTCATCTTTGTTGTTGCTATCACAACGTTTCGGCTGTTATGCCCTCCGGCCTTCATCAGGTGTATATTTATCTGGGTAACCTACAGGGAATTCTGAATTAAACCATTATTTAATCTGAGGGGCTAGACTGTTGCCGTTCCACTGTTCATGTCCAGGGAGATCTTGGTCGAGTTCTAGTTTTGGTACTGTTCAGTTATTGCTCGACCCGTTTCCACTGATTGCAAGTAAATATCTGCCCGAGCTAGGGATTGAACTCACAACCATACCATCAAATTCACAAACTAACGCTTCTATAAACTAGGCCATTGTCCGTACACTGATTTGAAGGGTCCAGGCACCAGAAGAAGAAAAAAAACAGATGCCCCGATTAAGTGGTGACCTAATTAAGAGAAATCCGTCGTTTCAAGAATGGGAATAATTATCCCGCTGTGTGTGTTTTCGATTCGAACATTTGCGAGCGCTCAGGTGACAACAGATTCGATCATGCGCGAAATGTTCACTAATTTAAAGGTCCTCTGAGAGAATCTGTCAGTGTATACTGATTGATCAGGGGACAGCCTGTCGAGATTCGCACTGATGAAAATAGAACGAAAAAGGGAAGTCAGAGTGAGAGAGAGAGAGAGGGTGAGGGAGAGAGAGGGAGTGAGAGAAAGAGTGGCGGAATGAGAGAGAGTGAGTGTAGGAGAGTGCGAGAGAGTGGGTGAGAGAGTGAGAGAGAGAGTTAGTGAGAAAGTGAGAGAGAGAGTGAGTGAGAGTGAGGTAGGGAGATTGAGAGAGTGAGAGAAAGACAGTAAGAGAGAGAGTAAAAGAGAGAGAGTGAGGGAATGAGAGAGAGAGAGGGAGGGAGGGAGAATGAGGGAGAGAGAGAGAGAGAGAGGGAGATGTCTCGAAGTCGTCTGATATTCTTCCCCTTGCAAACTGAGTTAAAATTAGAAATGCTGGCAGATACACGCTAAAGTGACAGCCTTCTTCGATGAGAGAGGATATCTTGAAAGAATTTACAGGATGTCTTGTGAATTCCCAAACGGTTCTAACAGTAACATAATCGCTCCAAATCGAAGTTCAAGTCGAGTGAATAAAGTAAGGACGCGACAAACAGGACCACTTCTTATCATCTAAATACACCCTTGTGCAAATTATTTGAAACAGAACGAATAATTCCGTTAATATTTTCTTTTATTCGATTTTTCCAATGAAACATGGCCCAGTACACATGTTAGAACTTCGTATGTCCATTCCATAAGGTTGTTCCTTAAAGATTGACAACAGATTCTCTATTGGATTTAAATCAGGAGAATTTCGGGGTCAGTCTATACTACTTTAATTTGCTGACTGGTAAGGCTTGTCAGTGTGTTCGTATGTCCATTCCACGAATTCATTCCTTGAAGATTGACCACAGATTCTCGATTGCATTTAAATCAGGACAGTTTCCATGCCAGTCGATAGTACTTTGATTTGCTCACTGGTAAGGCCTGCCAGTGTGTTTGTGCAGCGTTACAATTTTCGTACGCTTTCTTGGAGTAACGTCCATCGCAGATAATGGGCGTAGGACAACGAATCGACAATCGAGGCAATAGTGTCTGGGCTTGATGAAAATCTGACGCAATCACGGTTGATGCAACATTTTTGAAGGTCAAACAAATTTCATCATACTCCCCGAAAATAGATTCATATTGATGCACACGACTGCAAATGACATAATCTGGGTAAAAAATAGAAATCGATTACACCCTGTCACTCCAGTGGGTTTAAATCTGACCTTATGGTGAAAGAAAGGAAACTAAACCGCTGATTTTCACAAGGGTGTATCTGGAGATTCTTGATAAACTTCAAAGAAGAATCTGCAATGTTATTGTGGTGACCTGGCATCTCGGCTTCAATCACTTTCCCACCGCAGCTTCTCTGTATTTTTTTCTATAAGGATTTTCCTGGTAACTGTTGAATGTTGCTCTTTTGTAGATCGACTTTACGAATTAAAGTACAATACTAGATTGACAGATCTTATCATTTTACAGTTGAAATGGCTAGATGTAACCGTAAGTTCTATGTTAACAGTTTCTTCTCTTGTACTTCTCACTTATCTTCTGGCTTTTTGCTTCCTAGTCAATTTTGTCCTTAAAAAATTTAAATGCAATATCAATCTTTATCTTCTGTCTTCTTAATTCTTGTTCTTTTATTGTTCTCTCTATTTAATAGTATATTCCTCATAGTCTCTAACACTCAGTAAACTGCTTGCGTCTTAGTGGCTTTATTGCCTTGCTTGCTGTGAAATTATTTAATAAATAGAAACAATTAAAATTATTTTTATATATATATATATATATATATATATATATATATCATAAAAAACGATAGAACAAATGGAGTAAGTGTATATATATATATATATATATATATATATATATATATATGTGTGTGTGTGTGTGTGTGTGTTTATCATAAAAAGTGAAAGAACAGATGGAGTAAGTGTTGTACAGAAGATTCAGATACATACAGTAGTAAATGCTGTATGTTGGTCTGCAGTTGGAGATTCGCTTCCAGCTGTCCTGGTGAAACTCTCTGCCTCCGGGCAAAGAAGATCCCCCAGACGAGACTATGTCGAAGGGCAGAGTCTCGTCTCGAGAAACAGATACCCGAACCCCTTTTATACGGGATCTACATGGAATTTCTGACCGAGCCTACTGGCTCGGACACCCGACATTAAATTCGGCCTGGTATCACATCTGACCGCGTGGGGCGGTTGGTAGATATCCTGCACGTGGAAATTCATTGTAGAATTCACTTGACGTACTTCTAGCAGTTGACTACTTCTTCTACGCGCCGCTGGCGAATCATATACGTCTTGTTCTTGTCCTACGTACTATCGTTCATTACCAACCTTCGTGTGATTGTTCTATTCAGTAACCTTCCCTAGGTTACACCAGTAAGAATCCACAGTTCTTAGCATTTGCTTTTTTAACAAGTGCTCAATACAAAGTAGAGCAAATTTATTTTTTATTAAATTTATAGGTTATATATCTCTCTCTCTCGAATCTCTCTCTCTCTCTCAAAATCTCTCTCTCTCTCTCTCTATATATATATATATATATATATATATATTAAAATAACAAATCCGTTGGTATATAATATAAGTGGATGCAAGTAATATAAAATACTAAAACTGATCCACAAAAAGAGCTCAATGTATGTATTATTACAGAGCAAATAATTAATACACAATAAAATCCCAAATCACCTCATATGGGGAATAAGGTTATTTCGGCAGACGAAAATGTAGGTCATCTCGTCTGTCGGTAGGGACTGACTTCGTGTCAGATATAAAAATTTAACTGTGAAAGTTAAAAATAATATATATATATATATATATATATATATATATATATATATATATATATATATATATATGAAAACAACTGAGCTGCTTCACATTCATACGTTAGAAAACGACAGGAAAGTGGTGTATATTCACTTGACTTTCATTTCATCTAAATTTTCTACCTTTCCACTTACCTCCTTCTCGCACAAAATGTCCCATAAAAATAAGACTCACAAGTTTATGGGGATATGTGGGGAAGATAAGGGTTGATCCTAGACATGTACAGATTAAGACAGTAGTGATCGGGAAAGCATCCTCTTGGGAGTCAACTCTACAAACCAGCGATTTTTATGAAGGATAGAGTGATCCGAGAAACCGAATATTTTTACAGTATATTTTATGAGAGAGCAAGATATTGATCTAGATAGAGGATACTCATTGCCTAATGTCCCCAACAGAACTAAAAGTATATATATATATATATATGTGTGTGTGTGTGTGTGTGTGTGTGTGTGTGTGTGTGTGCCACACCTAGTAGGTATAGACAACAAAAAGTGATCAATACAAAATTCAAAATCGAGTATGTAGAGATAAGATATATAAGAAAAAACTAAAATGGCAACCAACCCCGCAAACCGGGTTGGTTGGCATTTTCGCATATATATATATACTCGACTCTCTCGTCGAATTCGACGTATGAGGGTCAATCAGAACAGTTCCTAGGAACCGACAGCCCGACTCTAGAACACGAGATTTGATTATAGTGGTGAAGGTCTTGTGTAGAATCATCCACACTTTTTGAAGGGCCGAATACAGAGACCTGGTGCACTACGTGACACAAAGTCCCCAAACAACTCTCCGCAGGTTTTGAATTCAGAGTTATCCTTCTCCTAGATTAGTTGCCATCCAAGGCTATAGAACCCAGTCTGTCCTGCTATTTATCCCTAGCTGGAGGGAGAAGAAAAGGATTCATACCTAAGAGTATTAGTATTAGCACGTATGTGAATGGATTCGACTGGAATTCGAACTCAGCTCTCCGATTCCTCAATCCAAGCAGCTAACCATTCCTCCACCGTGCTTCCTTAATTCACATTTAAAAGCGGTCCAAGTTATTGGAGCACCCTATGATTTTAGATGATTTGAAATGTGAATTAAGTTTAAGCGTCTAATGATTTTTTCTCTTTTTCTTTCAGATTTAACAACTTAAGTCTTTGCCAATTTCAACCATGGAAAGATTAACGATCAAACAATGTGTTAAAGTTATCGAAGCCTATTACGAAAATGGACCTTCAAACAGAAATGCAATGAGAAGTTCCCAGCTCGCATTATCTCTCGGAACAGCGAAGTCAATTGGACACCACGATCGTGCGACTTGAGGCCTTTAGATTTCTTCCTTTGGGGTCATCTCAAAAGTAAGGTCTATGCCAACAAGCGAACAATAATTCAACAGCTGAAGGATAAGATAATAAAGTATATTGGTGAGATCGAGGAGCAACAATGCAGAGACGTCATCAATAATTTTGACCATCGTGTGGTGGTGTGCCGTCAAAGCCTTGGCGGACATTTGGGCAATATTATTTTTCACACATAAGTGCCATGACTTAAATAACATGATCCAATAGAGAAATAAATTTTCACCAATAACACTGATTTAATTACTGCTGACTTTGATACGTAAAATAACTCAAATTATAGTATACATAGACGTTTCTCGAGCATGATATTATATTTGTGTGTGTAGTAGTAAATCAGCAAGTTAACAGCCATACGGTTGGGTGATCATGGCTATTTCGATTCATAACTGTCAGGTAGAAGGTATTCCCGCAGTAGGTTGCCGTCCGGTTGACAAACAAGTCTATAGCTCTCTGTCTGTCCTGATATTTCATCCATAGCTGGTGGGCAACGAGATGGATTCCGACCTTTCTCAATTGTATGTGAATATAAAGAACCCGACTGGAATTCGAACTCAGTTTGCTAATTTCTCATTCCGATTACACCATGCTGTATATATTGTAGTATATAGTGATTTTGAAAGAGTAGTTTAGATATGGCACAAGGCCAAAAATATTGTCTCAAATAAGTTATCTTCCCCCCTCCCTCTCCCTCTCCTCTCTCTCTCTCTCTCTCTCTCTGATTATCTTATCTGATTTCTATTTCTTTAAGTGATTTTAAGACAACTGACAGGACCCCTGACCCCGCTATCCACTAGGTCTGTCCTCTCACGCACTTTCAAGACAAGAGTTTCTGATGTACACGCACAGGACATTTATTTTGTATCCGAGAAATGGATTTAAAAATACGTGGAACAATTTACGATATCTGAAATAGTAAATTGGCTATTCATTCGCTGTTTATTTGTACCAGTCTCTTCCTTCCTTCCTTTCTTCCTTCCTTCCTTCCTTCCTTCCTTCCTTTTATCTCTCCCTCTTTCTCTCTCTCTCTCTCTCTCTCTATATATATATATATATATATATATATATTCATATATATGTAGATATATACATACACATATATCCTTGTAATAAAACAATGTATATGTATGTAGAAGGAGTATATATGAACATACTTGCAAAAACACACGCAATACACAAAAATGAAGAAAGGTTTACAAAGATACAGGCGACATAAAAAGACAAGAAAAAAGACCTCATTCCTTCCCCCCTTTCTCTGACCAATCCTAATTGTCTGATTACTCCTTAAGCAAAGGAATATTTTCCACCAGTCCAAGAAGAATTTGGATTACTATCACGGACAAAGAAAATGGTTAAACATAAGAAAACATAAGAAAAAATTAATACCTTTAAATAATAAGTGTAAATAACCAATCTACTCCAGAGGAATGTCACAAAATTTGAAACACTTGTAGCAAAAAATATAGTATAATATCGTATAAAAGTATATTACATAAAAAAAAGTCAGATTATAACTAAAAACGTTAGCGGCTCCCCTTTAATATTAGTATGTATGTATATATATATATATATATATATATATATATATATATATATATATATATGTTCTTGTATATTCACTTTTATATATATATATATATATATATATATATATATATATATATATATATATATCTTAAGACTATATATCTTTATATATATATATATATATCTTAAGACTATATATCTTATATATATATATATATATATATATATATATATATATATATATATATATAAAGATATATAGTCTTAAGATATATATATATATATATATTATAAATAAGCGAAAGAACAGATAAAGTAAGTGTTGCCGCGTACCTACGGACGATAATGAGTATGTCTTCATTCACATAAATACAGTAGTATATACTGTATGTTAGTCTGCAGTCGGAGATTCGTCTGTAGCTATGCTTTATTATATATAGAGATTTTATATATATATATATATATATATATATATATATATATATATATATATATATATATGATAAATCAAGAAAGACTTCAATAATCCGTCTCGCTTTTTATTGTTGATTTATTATTGATCTGTAACTTACACTGAGTTTTTTTGGGATTAATATGCTCCTTGGAATTATCGCTACCAATTAAAAACTGGTATATATATATATATATATATATATATATATATATATATATATATATATATATAGTTAAAAATTAATATTTTATAAATGCTTTTCGTACGGTCTATATTAGTATCCTTTCATTTACCCTTGTTTTGTTAACTAACCTATCTATTTTACATACTATAAAAAGTACATATAGATCTTTTCTTCTAATTATATATATATATATATATATATATATATATATATATATATATCACTGTCCCTTCTATTTCAGTCAGATCTATCTATCTATCTATCTATCTACTTCAGTCTGTTCATATCTATCTATCTATTTCAGTCTGTTCATATCCATCTAGCTATCTTGAACTGTTTGTCTGTTGTCATATCAGTCGATCTGACCCTGTTTCATTTCCCTGTCGATGTCTCTCCCCCTCTTACACACTCTGTTTCCGTTTCTCGTCGTGTTTCTCATTTAAAGTCTCTCTTTTCTCCCCATTTCTTTTGTCTCTCTATTTCCCTATCTTTTGTTTGCATGTTGTTTCCCTACACTTCGTCCTTTCTTCCCTCATATCTATGCAAAATCACGCTTTCGGAGTGGCACCTTCAGAAATGCGTACAACGTATATTCTGTAACGGTAAAGGCACCTTCTGAAGCCAGTAACCTTTTCTTACATGAACAATTTCATCTACTTTCTCTCTCTCTCTCCCTCTCCCTCTCTCTTTTTATCCTCTCCTCTCTCCCCTCTACTCTCTCACATTCTCTCTCATCCTGTCTCTCACCTTACAACATTTTTACTCTCAGTTTGTTCATATCTATCTATTTATCTCTCACTTTCTCTCTCTCTCTCTCTCTCTCTCTCTATCTCTCTTTCTATCTATCTATCTATCTGTCTAGGAACTAGGCTGTTAATGTATACATCTATATGTCAGACTAATAGTAGGCAAATGAATGACAAATTCGACTCTATCTATCTATCTATCTATCTATCTATCTATCTATCAGGGAGAGAGAGAAATAGAGAGGGAGTGAAAGAAGATGAAATTCTTCATGTAAGAAGTGCCATTCATTTATGTGCCGTGTGCCTACAGGGCGTAGACGATCATGGCTCTCCCCCCCCAATCCTTGTAGCTCTCAATAAGTTTTGTCCCTTTGCTACTTCCTCCAGGCCACATTCTCTCATCCACTTGCTTAAGTCATGCATTGCTTTCATTTGTCTCTCTTTCCCTCTGTGAGTATTAGATTCTCCAAGCCATCTTTTCTCATTACGAGTCCTATAAATTTCAGCTGCCTCTTCCTGATGTTAAGTATAAGCTTCCTCCTTGTTTGCACCCTCTACAAAACCTTATCGTTGCTCACTCGCTCGGTCCATGGTATCCTTAGCATCCTTTTGTAGAACCATATCTCCGTTGCCTCGACTCTCTTCTTCATCTTTGAAAAGAGCGTCCAACATTCGCTGCCGTATTACCAAAGGAATCCTCCTGTTTCGTAATGCTCTGCCAGCTTTTGGAATACATTTTTGGCCACACCATTACGTCTCCGGATTTCAGTGCCGCACTTTACGGTACTCTGTCAAAACACTTCCCAGATACTTCCGCACATGTTTGATTTTAATGTCCCCGACCTGCAAATCGCATTTTGGGGTCATCCTTTTACTGATGACCATGCATTTTGTCTTCTTGTAGTTTATAGTTAGTCCTTTCTTCTCGCTCTCCTCCGCTACCTTCTGTAGGAGATTTTGTAATTTTTTTTCCGTGTCTGCTATCAGTACTGTGTCGTCTGCGTATCTTATGTTGTTAAGATTGTAGCCACCAATGATGAATCCAGATAGTATTTCCAAGTCTCTTAGAATTTCTTCTCTCTTAAAAAAATTGTTAAGATTGTGCTCACCTGTAATAAATCCTAGTAGCGTATCGAGCTCCCTTAAAATAAGCTGGCTGTAGAGGTTGTATAGTTCCGGCGAGAAGACACATTCGTGTCTTACGCCTCTTTTTATCTTTGAGTACCTACTCAATTTCCTTTCTATAACCCCCTTGAACTGGAGAGTCGTTGGGCGACGGCGTCAATTCGATAATAAAGTCGCATTATTCACCTGTTAGTTGTTTTATTTACAGAGATAAAAGAACTTCAACACAGGGAATTATAACTTAACTCTCTTATTATTTCTAAGAATTTACATAATAACAGTAATAATTTTAAACTCTAAATTACAAAATGGCCGCCATTGCTTTTGATTAGGATTACCTTTTCTTCTCTCTTTCTCTCTCTCTTTCTTTCTCTCTCTCTCTTTCTTCTCACTCTCTTTCCTCTCTTTTTCTGTTTCCTCTCACTCGCTTTCTTCTCTTTCCTCTCTTTTTTCTATCTCACTCTGTCTTTCTTCACACTCTCATTCTTCTCTTTCCTCTTTTTTTCTCTTTGCTCTCTTTCTTCTCTCTCGCTCTCTCTTCTCACTCGCTTTCTTCTCTTTCCTCTCTTTCTCTCTCTGTCTTTCTTCTCACTCCCTTCTCTTTCCTCTTTTCTTCTCTCTCTCTCTTTCTTCTCACTCTCTCTCTTTCTCTCTTTCTCTTATTTAATCTTCTTTTTCGTTTATGTTCCTCTATCCTCTCTTAACTTTATCTTTTTTAATTTTATTTTTTACATTAAGGTTCACATTTTACAAGGTCCACTCGAGGCAGGGTTTACGTTAAGGTCTAGTTTCATATGGTTAGGAGGGGAAAGATAACTTTTAATCCTAGACTTGGACAGGTTAATATTGTAGTAATCGAGGAAACATCCTCTCGGGAGTCTGTATCTTACGGCAGTGGTTCGCGAGAAGAAGCTGTTCGAGTAGAACTTACTTCTCGCCGATGGAATACGGGGGAAATGTCGGTGGTTTGCTACTTTGTAAGTGGCATGACGTGTTCTAGCCGTGAACGTCAGACCTGGTGGAACCAGGAGTTGCAGTTCGTCCGAGCACTTTCCACGGTAGTAGCTATAGGGCAGTGAGACTCGCCATATCGCGCCTGTGTGCGTGTGAGAGAGAGAGACAGAGAGACAGAGAGAGAGAGACAGGTTGGAGGGTGGAAGATAATTCTTCCCCAGCAGGGACTCAGAGACGTTTTCAAACTCTGTAAAGAAATGGAAAGTGAGGTCTGGGCAGCTCCTGCCCAAATATGGCAACAGTACCCCATTTTCAGCCTGATCTCGTTTGTATAAAGATAGAGGATAGCAGGACAAGTCAGGTGCTTCCTGGAGTGGTATAGAGAGCCGATCTTTTTACCTGAATCTTTAGTGATGGATCGTATATAGGAATTCCAAGTCGAGTGTGAGTTTGAAGCCAGATATCCTCTCGAGGTGCGGGGCTTTCTTCAGGGTACATCCGATCATCGTGACTGGCCGTAGTTCGGGACCCACAACACTCTCTCCCCCTCTTAGGCTTTCCCCCGCTACCTCCCTTCTCAAATAATTTTTCAATTTTAATTAACTTATTTTATTGGAACGATAGAAATCCAGATTTGATGACGTCACACCAATCTTCCACGGGAGACGGCGTGCCTCGAAAATCATCATTCAAACTCACTGGATTTAGCTGTGCTCGAACACCGTCCTTTTCTAACAAAGAGATATGCGAAAACACGTCTTCATCTCTTACATTTTCTAATAATAAATTTTTAAAATGAGTATAAAAATAGATTTTTATAGTAAAAATACCAGCAATATATTCTAGGAAAAAAATGCCAGCAATAGAAAGTTTGTGTGTGTGTGTTTAAATGAGTTCTAATGGAGCTGTGGTCGGATAGGTGTATATATGTATGTACATATGTATGTATGAAGAAATTTTGAAAAAACAAACAAAAATCCTTAAATGTAGTTAAATGAAAGAAATGTCGACGTCTACATTTAAGGATTTTTGTTTGTTTTTTCAAAATTTCTTCATTCTGTCGGATTTATATCCATTTACACTTGCTTATATGTATGTATGTATATACATATATACTTTTCTTCCTCCCACAAAGCTTTATGTCCCTCATTTATTTATTCCCGTTTTTCTATCTGCGCATGCGCACGCATGAAATTATCTAAAAATGGCGTCGACGGTGTATTTGAAAAAAAATCTATGACATTTTCACCTTTGTCATTATCAACCAATTTTTTCAGATGATACAAGTTGGCGCCTTTTATTTAGAGGAGACGTGCCCTTCCTCTATCGCAACAGAAACCTGGCGCCTTCTTAACTTTCCTCTCAATGACTAAGGTCGTCCTTTCTTTCGATCAACTTCTGTCCTTTCATTTCACAAGACATCTGCTCTTTCATTTCGTCTTCACGATTAACGTTGATAACAGGAGATATCCAGCTCGGATTTTATTCACTTGAATTCAATGCAATAGATTCATTAATTCCACGTAAACGATTTCAAAGTTCCCAGAAACATGTGTTTACAATGTTAAAGAAATCTTAGAAGTGTCTTTCCTGTTAACACACCTCTTTATTGCTTGTTTATTCAATCAACTGTAAATTTAGGAAAACAATTCAGTCATAAGAATATTGTGTCTGAGCGATCATAGAATTTTCCGACCTCTAAATAACATTGTAAAAATATTTTTAAAAATGCAGTCACGGTCATTTATTTTGTATTGTTTCGATTGCAGACAAAATAAATAAAAATGGCAGCAAACACGGTAATTTCAAAAGTTAATCTTTTGGTTTTCATTTCCATCATAACTCATAAAATCCCAACATCTAAATATATTTATTCGCTATGGTCACGCCCAACAGAAACTTAATTAGCCTTGTTTGACTTAATTACTGCCATAAGGTAGATCTTCATTAAAATCCTGTATTTTAACCCTTATTTTTTTTTTACTAATTAACAATTTTTAGGATATATAGGCATGATGAAAAAGAATCCCCTCACACTGACATACGGTAACACTCAATGTAAATATACAGTCTATTAATTAATCATGAATTGAATTTGAGTAAAAATGTCACATGTTGAATGTCAGTAAAAAAGATAGATAATGTTTGAGACTGCCACGTCAAATAATACTAAAACTCAATATAATATTACTAATAACACACTAAAAAAGCAAGTGAAATAAAGATGAAAGAAATCCTAGTCAAAAATGAATAATGACTGACAATTCTTCAACTAATAATAATAAAATTCAAGATAATATTATTACTAATACTACTAATGTAATAAAAAGCAAGCAAAATAAAGATGAAAGAAATCCTAGTCAAAAATGAATTTATCTAATAATAATAAAATTCAAGATAATATTACTACTAATACTACTAATATAATAAAAAACAAGTGAAATTAAGATGAAAGAAATTCTAATTCGAATTTAAAGAAAATAAATATATTTGTTTTGATTTTAGCTTGCAAAAGAATTTTTTTTTTTTTTTATAAATATTATGATCGTAGACGATCGAGAGAAGTTCTCCTCGGTAGTATAGTGGTGAGTATCCCCGCCTGTCACGCGGGAGACCGGGGTTCGATTCCCCGCCGGGGAGCCTCTTTATTCTTTTGTTTCTTTCACTCGTCCCTATATCACATACCCATCCTATAACGGTAAACTGTTAACGCACATTCGACGCTGATGCTTACGACACTTCACATTTGTGTAGTTGTAAGACCTAAAGAATTTCATGTCGAATGTGTTTAACTTTTACACACTAAAATGAACTTTTCCTGCAACTGATGAGATCATTTAGATTATAAAATTCCTCCAACGGTAAGGAGAATTGAATTTCGTGTTCATCTCTCGACTCACTGAAAATGTCTATTAATTCTGATTGCACACGCTCCAAGTGATACAATGTTTGTATATTACTGAACATACTCTAAACAGATTGACACGTATGTTGAAATGGGACAATAAGTGATAATTTTTTTATTAAATGTTCTATCGAATGTTTTACCTGACAATATCCGTTATCGACGACATATAATCAGAATATTTTGTTGTGTGTTTTAAATACGATACAACATTTTCCACATATGTATGTTACGGAAATATAGAAAACGTGTATTTATTGGCGTCTTTTTATAAAAATTCCGCTGTGTACGAGAGAAATGCAAGTTTTTGAGATAAAATGCATTTCTAATCCAAGTTGTGGCCAGATACAGATCGGCCGAATCCGATTTCGTAGGAATAACCTAAATGAAACTGGAATAGGAGGGCAGGCATGTAAGTTCAAATAACTTGAGCAGCTTTTGTCTAACGACAACAATGTCCCTTTAATTTATTTTTCCTATAAATTGTATAACTGTGTTGGGAGAAGAAGTCTATAGCGCTGTTTGTTAGCGCAAAATATCTATGCTTGCATTCGTTTTAAGTTAGAGCTTTTTACATATTATGATGTGAAGTCGCAATCAGGTGGTCCTCGGTAGTATAGTGGTGAGTATCCCCGCCTGTCACGCGGGAGACCGGGGTTCGATTCCCCGCCGGGGAGCATTTAAAATGTTTTCTTTCATTGATTTTAGCTTGCAAAAGAATTTTTTTTTTTTTTTTTTATAAATATTATGATCGTAGACGATCGAGAGAAGTTCTCCTCGGTAGTATAGTGGTGAGTATCCCCGCCTGTCACGCGGGAGACCGGGGTTCGATTCCCCGCCGGGGAGCCTCTTTATTCTTTTGTTTCTTTCACTCGTCCCTATATCACATACCCATCCTATAACGGTAAACTGTTAACGCACATTCGACGCTGATGCTTACGACACTTCACATTTGTGTAGTTGTAAGACCTAAAGAATTTCATGTCGAATGTGTTTAACTTTTTTACACACTAAAATGAACTTTTCCTGCAACTGATGAGATCATTTAGATTATAAAATTCCTCCAACGGTAAGGAGAATTGAATTTCGTGTTCATCTCTCGACTCACTGAAAATGTCTATTAATTCTGATTGCACACGCTCCAAGTGATACAATGTTTGTATATTACTGAACATACTCTAAACAGATTGACACGTATGTTGAAATGGGACAATAAGTGATAATTTTTTTATTAAATGTTCTATCGAATGTTTTACCTGACAATATCCGTTATCGACGACATATAATCAGAATATTTTGTTGTGTGTTTAAATACGATACAACATTTTCCACATATGTATGTTACGGAAATATAGAAAACGTGTATTTATTGGCGTCTTTTTATAAAAATTCCGCTTAATTTGTACGAGAGAAATGCAAGTTTTTGAGATAAAATGCATTTCTAATCCAAGTTGTGGCCAGATACAGATCGGCCGAATCCGATTTCGTAGGAATAACCTAAATGAAACTGGAATAGGAGGGCAGGCATGTAAGTTCAAATAACTTGAGCAGCTTTTGTCTAACGACAACAATGTCCCTTTAATTTATTTTTCCTATAAATTGTATAACTGTGTTGGGAGAAGAAGTCTATAGCGCTGTTTGTTAGCGCAAAATATCTATGCTTGCATTCGTTTTAAGTTAGAGCTTTTTTACATATTATGATGTGAAGTCGCAATCAGGTGGTCCTCGGTAGTATAGTGGTGAGTATCCCCGCCTGTCACGCGGGAGACCGGGGTTCGATTCCCCGCCGGGGAGCATTTAAAATGTTTTCTTTCATTTTTTTTAAAAGAATTTTTTTTTTTTTTT